TGCTTATACTTTTCATGAGCTGTAAGCCACAATCATCACAATTATGACAAATCACGACTTGAACTATCTTGCTGTGCATGTAATGAGTCTATCTCATATCTTAGTTTCACCTTTTGAGTTGCATTACTGGAATAAATAAACTTTTGCACAATATTCTAATTTTTCGAGTTTCACCTGTACATCTGTGACTTGTATGTTAAGATTACATTCAGTGTGGTATAGATGAACAGTTTATTGTGGAATAAAATTCTGGGGAATATGGTTCACATTTGTCTAGTGCTCAAAGCTGTCATATATGTTCAAAGATAGAGACGCATACAAATAATAAATGGTGTGTCATGAAATGTAAAGATTATAACCTTTAATAAAATAAGTGTGCAGTCCATCCTTTGTCTTTAGAAGGGGTACAACAACTAACATTTAACAGAATTGTTTCACTGAGCCAAATAATAGTAATTTATTTCTAAAAGCGCACAGACGTTTTGTCAATTTGATAAAAATGATAATGAAAGTGGTTATTCATCAAAATTAAATTTATCTGTGCTTTGAATTCCATGACATTTTTCAATTGATATTTAAGTCAACATCAGCACATACCTCTTGAGTCCCTTTGTTTCATTTCCTGTGCTAGAGCTATGTCAAAATGAGCACTGCCTGCACTCTCACACTGGGTGATAATTTTACAAACACATTCTGCAGCAAAAACTCTAGTAGACCACCGGGGATGTGGGAATGGGTGCGATTTATCCTTCTTTGCCAAAGTTAATGCCAATTCATCATCTACTTGAGTACCCTCTTCTTCTTGGCTTGTATCCACTGAAGCAACAGTTGTAAAATCTACATTAAGACACAAAGTGAAAATCAAACTGTTTATGAAGATTGCTAATATGGTTAAAATAGCAAGGTGACGATGAAGTCATAACCATGAAAAGGTCAGGTGAATAACCAACCAGATGTGGAAGGAAGCAGGAAATGGAGAGGCAAATGAATGGGAAAGGAAAAGGTATTTAAGTTGCTATGCTTCCCTACAATGTAACTGTTTCTTCTGATGCTAAAAAGTACTAGGAAACCTTAAGATTAAAAAAATCAATAATATTTAGATACCAATACAAAGAAGAACCATTCCACTGTCTTTGTGATAAGACCAGGAACATATAAAGGGATGGGGAGGGGGGTTGATAATAATCTTGGCATCCATACAGGCTGCAAAAGGAGGACATCAAGTGTCTAAAGGCAAAGGTAAAGATTCCTTCGCATATATGTGCTAGTCGTTCCTGACTTAGGTGGCATTGCTCATCTCCATTTCAAAGCTGAAGGGCCAATGCTGTCCGAAGACATCTCTGTAGTCATGACTAAATGCCGAAGGAGCATGGAACTGTACCTTCTCATCAAAGTGGTGCCTATTTTTTTAATTGCATTTTTACATGCTTTTGAACTGCTAGGTTGGTAGAAGCTGGGACAATAATGGGAGCTCACTCCATTATGCGCTAGGGATTTGAAACGCTGAATTGCCGACCTTTCTGATCGACAAGCTCAGTGTGTTAGCCACTGAGCCACCACGTCAAATGTCTAGTGGTCACCAATTCAGGGCTTCTTTCTTCCTTTCCATAATCCTCCACATTAGGTAACTTTATGAATCATATTGTTTATTATTCTCAAAATAAGTTGAGAGACGTCTGAAAGCCTCCACCAAGGAGGATGTTGGAATAGGTGACTCCTGATATCTCTGCTAACTCTTATGTTTCTATGGTTGCATTATTTTCTTCCTGAGATGCCTATTTAGGAAGAAGGTATTAGCATACCAGCAGAAGCAGCCAGAACATCTTTGCAGAGTTTCAGCCAAAAAGAGAGTTTTCCAACAGCCATTGACATAAGCATATGGGTCAGGGTTTCTCTGATATCTTGGCACAGTTTTGGGTCCAATTCTTTGTCCAACAAGCTCAGCAAAGCTCCTTCAAGGCCTATTTCACCTATATTAACACCTGCATTTTTTAGATAAAAAAAAAAATTGAACATGATCAGCAGATTTCATTTCAATTCAAATCAAATGATGAATTATTGTAATTGAAAGCTTTCAAAATTACATACTTCAATGAAATAATTTTGAAACTATTTTAGAAGATAGTGCTGGTTTAACATCTATGGAGATTCTCAATCATTTACTGTAAGTCGGGGTTGTCCCAAAGGTGCTTTTTCCAAAAGGCAACTGGGCTTTCTTGTTTTTTTCCCCCTTTGAAAACCATTTTCTTCTCATCCAAGAAGCTTCTTCAGTTTTAAACTGAAGAAAGTCTATGGAGATTCTCAGTAATCCAGGTCATGGTTGCCCCAAAATGCTTTTTCAACAGGCAACTGGACTTGAAGAACTTGATGAGAAGCGAAACGTTTAGGAAGAAAAAACCCAGAAAATCTACTTGCCTCTTGAAAAAGCACCTTTGGGATAAACTGAAGAAACTACTTAGATGAAAAGTGAAAACTCTTTCAAAGGAAAAAACCAAGAAAGTCCAATTGGAAAAAGCAGAGAATTGCAGAACCTTACTTGCTTACATGGCTCCAATTTTTCCTTGTACTGTTAAAAAAAATCCCTTAAAAAAAAGCTCAGCTACGTTTAGAAATACTACAATATCTTAAATTGACATATTTAATTGTTTGAGGCTATTTGGTTGTGTTTTCTTGATTAGTGCCAGCTCTATACATTATCTTTCTTTCAGCATCTAGACACAGATAATCACAACAGACATAAAGCACATATTCAGAAAAATAATCATAGGATTATGCTGATCTGTTTACCCAAACATCAGGCCACAAATCAGCACTAATACTGCTGACATATTCCAAATTAAGCATTGTTGCATAAATTCTTGTTATTGCCTCTGTGGTTTATTTCCAGTAACTCCTCATTCCTATAGTTACATGTTACTAATAGTTACAAATCATGAGAATTTCAGCCCAGGTTGCAACCTGAAGTGAGAAATATATTCCTGCAAGTCATTCCTTTGTTTGATGATATAATATGGGGATTACTCTTACATTCTTTTTCATTCTGTTACTCACATATCTCCCGCACACATTCATACAAGCACACTTTGCAGATAACCAAACTTGAATTATCATATTTTGAACATATAGAATAGAATAACAGAGTTGGAAGGGGCCTCGGAGGCCTTCTAGTCCAAACCCTTGCTTAGGCAGGATACCCTACACCATTTCACACAAATGGTTATCTATTGTGAAGACACAACTTCCTTGAGAAGTTCATCATACTTGGCTGAAGGAGAAAAGGATGACCATCAGCAAGGAGTGATGGACTTGATTACAGCAATGATGGTTGTACCTTTAGAAAATCTGAAGGGTCATACTAGAGACAGATCATCAGGGAGAAGGTCTATATCTATATGGCTGCTAAAGTTGACATTGATGATATCACATAATCAATCAATACTTTGCAGAAAAACACACAGACTGAAAGATTCCAGTCAAATACAAATTATGCATTTGTTACACTGTAAATTAAATAGGCAAAATTTACAAATTGGTAATACCTTGTTTCTGATTTTTTTTTGAAAATATAGATAAAAATTAAAGGTTTGACTTCCTCATATATAACATAACCTATATATTTCAAATTAGTAAATAAGAAAGATGCCCCAGAATAGTATCTATGATAGAACTAAGGTTGTAGGGGAAATGAGTAATTCACATATTTCTTTTGAAATATTTAGTTTAGTGTCATTGCACCTCATACAACAAAATTAAATGCCATNAATTTTTGAAACCCACCACTGATTTTATGGCACATAAACAAACAGCCTATTCTAAAACACTAGAAATGTTATTTTCTGTTACCTTAAATACTAAAAAGCAATAATATGTAACTTGGTATTTCTTTTTTTGGCAAACTCCTCCGAAGATTTACTTACATTGGCTTGGTATTGCTCCAGTATTACATGACCTGGGAATTCTGGCTCCACTACAGCAGCAAATTTTCGAATAATAATTAACAACATCTGAAGTCCGGAAAGACGAAGTTGGTTGCTGTGATCAGTGGCAGCCATAAAGGCCATACGAATTAAGTCAGCTAAATATAATACCAAGAAATCATCTGTATGTGATAAAAAGGAAATGCTTGTTTTGATAACATGAACTTAAACTCTGGTACTTTAAAATATTTATCCCCATTACCTGTTCTATTCCTATAATAAGAAAAGAAGATTAGGACTAAATGGAGAATTTTCAAAATGAAGAGGTGAAGTTTCTTGAGACTGGTGTAAGATAATTTTTTTAAAAAATTTATAAACTGGAGATATGGATAATAATGATGTATTTTAATCATAGTAATGTGTTCATGGTATTGTAACGCAATGAAAATAGGATTCCAAAGTGTTACAAAATATGCCTATATAACTGGGTGAATTTGCTTCAAAAAAGTATATGCAATTCCTGTAAATATAGGTATGGTGATGTATATTGACATAAAAATTCAAACTTTACCTATTAATGGGCCCTGAGCTAAAAAGGGATTAATCACAAAAAGGATTTTGAAGACATAATTCAAGGGTCAATGCAGGATGAAGTAGTATTGGTCAGGCTAGAAGAGACATGCTTTGAATCATTTGCAAAGGAAATAAAAATGCAACATATAGTATAATAACACTCCAACAAAAAAAAATATAATGCAATGCTCTTTGGTATACTGCACATTGTTCTGATAAATACAAAGAGGTAGTCTGGAGCTGGGGGAGTGGGGAATGCAAAAACAGGCCAACCAAAATAATTAGGAGTCTTAATCAGATACCCTAGAAGGAAAGTCTGAGCTTTTTAAGCTCAGAGCAAAGTGGGGAAAAGGGGAGACATGGTAAAAACAGATAGAATCATATTTAAAAACTAAAAGGAAATTGATAATATTTAAGTGGGAAGATCAGGGACTAGCAATCCTAAGAATGGTATGTTTTGAATAGCAGCACTTAGAAAGCAACACACCAGTGGATGATTTTCCATTTTTGGATTTTTTGAAAGTACATAGTTGTATATTGGTATAAAAGGTTTACCAGCAAAGTAAGGTATTTTCTTACTGAAAGTTAGAATTGGTTGTGCCAATAAATCAAAAATTACAACTGTAGTTTGGTTAAACCTTTGTGTAGAGTATATACAGGTGAAACTCCAAAAATTAGAATAACGTACAAAAGTTCATTATTTCAATAATGCAACTTAAAAGGTGAAACTAATATATGAAATTCATTACATGCAAAGCAAGATAGTTCAAGCCATGATTTGTCATAGTTGTATACTCTGAAAAGTATAAGCATGCATATGTATTCAGTACTTGATTTGGGCCCCTTTTGCAGCAATTACTGCCTCAATGC